GCAAATTAAATTTATATATGTAAGCATTTATTTCAATTTAAAATATTTTTAAGAATATTATATACATTTTTGATATATTTTTCACAGTGATTTGCAAAAGTGTCTCAACAATATTTATGAAGTGCAATTTTTATATCTCTTAAAATGACCCCTAACTATTTAAAAATTGTTTATATTATTGATAAAAGAATGTATCACACGGATACATCTTTGATTACAGCGGGAGACGTTCTTTGTCATTGATTTCAATGACTGGTTTCAGGATTTAGACACAAGAGCATCTGGAAGGAGCGCCTGTGCTACACTTTTCTCTATTGCATTTTATACATGATTTTCAGTTTTTTTATTTTTATAAATATTTTGTTTATTTTTGTTTAGTTTTATTTTTTTTTTATATTTAATTATTTTTTTATTTTTGCTATTTTTATTTTTATTTATTTTTATATATGCTTTTTATTTATTTATTTTTATATATGTTTTTTATTAATTTATTTTTATTTATGCTTTTTATTTATTTATTTTTATATATGCTTTTATTTATTTGTTTTTTTATTTTTATTTATTTTTTATTTTTATTTATTTTTTATTTTTATTTATTTTTTATTTTATTTTTATTTATTTTTTATTTTATTTTTATTTTTTATTTTATTTTTATTTTTATTTATTTATTTATTTTTTTTTATTCTTATTTACTTGTTTTTTTTTATTTTTATTCTTTTGTTGTTTTTTTATTTTTATTTATTTTTATTATTTATATATTTTTATTATTATTTATTTTTATTATTATTTATTTATATTGTTATTTATTTTTATTTATTATTTATTTATATTTATTTTTTCTTATTTTTTTATTTATTATTTTATTTATAATTTTTCTTCATTATTTTGTTTTCATTTCTGATTATTTTTATTTGTTGTTTTTATTTTTATTGATTCGTTTTCATGCTGCTAAGCATGTCATCAATCCAGTGCCATTTTCGGTGAGGTATCGTCACTCCTTACAGTTACATTATGAATTATAGTTGCTTATCGGTAACACAGGCTGACTATTATTTGAATAGTAATACGAAAGCTTCGGATAAGCGATATTACTATACAACATAATACCTGATATAAATATCTTAAAATATTACAAAAAAAAAAATGAATGAAAGTATATTAACAACTATTTATTATAATAAATAATTTTATTGAATTGCTAGAAACTTTAATAATCTAAATAATTACCTCAATCAATTTCCTGTCTCGAAATTTTATTGGTAAATGTAATTTGTATTATTTTCTATATTTTTTTGTATTTTTTTTTGTGTTTTTTATATATAAATATGTATAATATTTTTTTTTTTGTACAATACGATTTCAGCTAATTTACTGGTAACAAAAGCTGTCAAAGTAGCCTCAAACAGAACTTTTGTACTTCAGTTTTATTTTGGTTTATTTACTTTTATTTATTTTGCAAACATACACGCAATTCTGATTGTAGAGGCAACCAGAGGAATCCGTAAACCCATATTACGAGTACAATTTCATGCTTACCAAAACATGGTCGACTGCAGGGAAACTCTAGTAAAATTGCATGATTTTGACTGACAACAACATGCGAACCGGCGACAAAAATAAAATCAAACAAACTTTTCACCATCAATTATGTTCATTGACATCGAATGTATTGCACAATGAAATAAAAGCTAACAAATTGTCGATCTACTACTGTTCAGAATTTTTGGAATATTTTTCCAGAGTAATTGATTTAACCACATTGGCAGTATATATATAAAAAATAAACAGATAGGCAGTTAAACCATTTCTTGTTAAATTGTATTCTTTAATTTAAAGTAAGTGTAATATAAATTTGGATTTATAAAGAAAATACTAACAAAGTAATTAAGTGTATAACACATAAAGTATCTCAAAACAAAAGTACAAATAAATCGTAAATTAAAATCTAAGCGATAAGTAAGTACATAAATTGCTGAAATTATTTCGTGTTTAAAATTAGTAAAAATAATTTTAATCAAATAAAATTACAGACACGTGAGTTTGTATATTTTAATGCAAAATTTTTATAATTACTAAGTTCTAGAGAGTAATTGAAGTGTTTGTAATAAAAATAAATTCTTATTTAATCATTTTTAATTTATTGAAATTATTTTGAATGAGTAATAATTAATCATTCAATTTTGTTAATCAAGTAATTATAAAGTAATTTATATATAAACACTAGTATGTACAAGTTTCTTCTATCAAACAAATTACTCAAAATATATAGTAAATACTTATGGTATGTGTGTATAGTATTACGTTTGTTTTGAAATTCGCCCTATTAGTACTCAATTATACTCCAAAGCTCTCTAAGCGTGTGTACCGCCTCTTTATGTTGTCAAACCTGCCAAACTCACGCACTTCAATTTTGTCGATTATTCATGGTGCTAATTTTTTTTTTTAGCAATAAACTACTATATTTTACCACATTTTTTAATTATAATTTTTTGTTCGATTTTCCCAATGCGTTCCTTATATCGTGATAATGACGTCTGATCTGTTGTGTACCACAATTTTATCAAATCAGAAATATTCACACATGTTTTTTAGTGCAATGACGTGTTTTTATAAATTTTCAATGCGGAATTTATAATATTTTATTTATAAAATAGAGGCCACCGAAATTTAAAGTGCTTCTATAGTGGCGCGAAAAAAAGGAATTTAATTTTATATGAATATGTATACATAATATATATGTATATTTTTTCCGTAATTAAAAATTACATTTATCACATTTTAACGCCCATGTGTCAAAAATTAATGGGTGTGCGTACGTTTGGGTCTGACATTTAAGACTTTAATTGATAAACTCTATGACATAAAATCCTATGTGGCTTTGACTTTAAATTAGAAAATCTGTTAATTGAGGTGACAGTTGTCCACTACTGCGCTTGATCTTGTCAGCTTCATTTCTCTGTTTATTTTTGCTGGAGTAAAGTTTGATACTACGTCTATTTCTTCATATAAGATACGAGTAGCAAAAATACTTTGAATTGATTAACTAAAATAACTGCTATTCAATTAGCGTCATTTTTGTAAGTTATTTTATCATAAAGACTTCAAACAATATTTCTTAATACAGTGCAATAAGTAACAAAGTTTGACTTTTAGTAACTTTAGGTTGATTATTGCAACTTAAATGAAAGGGTTATATTTTTAAAATTATTTTTGCATAATGAATAATAAAATATTTTGCATAAAAGTTATTTTAAAAATACTTAAAATTTATAGCATGTACTATCAAGTTCTATCGATGTTCTTCCATACCACAACCTTGAATTTATCCCAGCAGCTTTGATTGCTTTGCAGATTTTTTTACTTTATTGCATACACCTCTACACACGGATATTGAAATATTAATTAATCTATGTAAATTCCTAATACTAATTTCTTAACATTTAGATGCTTTGAAACCAGCTGTTGTTGATTGAAAAATGCGCTTAACTACCACAACTCTCAAGACCTGCTCACCTTCCTCCTTTCATTCGATACGCTGCACCTAACATTTGTATCTATCTATATCTTCCTACTAGCTTACACATTTGATCGATTAAGATTTATGTGTATGATTAAGTTTTGTGGTTGTTGGGGCAATAAAAAATGAAAAATTATAATAATTTTTTTGTATGGCGGCGCCAAACCACCACATGTTACCTAATTTCTGGCCGTTGTTGTACTCGTATTTCAATTCATTTTATTTAAATTTCTTTTAAAAAAATTTTAATTTAAATCATTTTGTTTCACTGACATCTTATAATAAAGAAAACTTTTTTCTGCTCAACGTCAACTTATTGTCTTGTTGCTACGTAAAAAAACGTTGCATGAGATTTTAATATTAAGAATTTTCAGTTGTTTTATATTTAAAAAAAAAAATTATAAAAATCGATAACCCAGAACATTTGCGTTTCGCCTGCCTGTCTAAGTCTGGCCATCTCTATCAAGCGGCCGTTTGCACCCGATGGGAATTCGTGCGTACCCGAACGTCAGGCAGACTGCCCTTTGAATCTGGCTATCACGTCTTTAATCATGTCCGAACCACCAAGTATTAATGCTGACCGGTATTCTCCGCTGAAACAGATTACCCCGGCCAATGTGGCAGGGCTGAAAGTGGCATGGGTGTTCCGCACGCATGACCTGAAAACCCCGAATGACCCCGGTGAAATTACGGACGAGGTTACGCCCATCAAGGTGCGGGACACGCTGTATCTGTGCTCCCCACACCAGATCCTGTTTGCGCTGGATGCCGCAACAGGCAAGGAGCGGTGGAAGTTTGACCCCAAGCTCCAGTACAACCCGACATTCCAGCATATGACATGCCGTGGTGTGTCCTATTCTGAAATGCACCCCGGCGATGTGACGAGCGATGGCTCACCCGCGCCAACGGAGTGCAGCCGCCGCATTTTCCTGCCAACCAATGATGGCCGCCTGTTTGC